CCTGGCTCCCTGACACTCCTGAGTGGACTGTTGTCCTGCCTTGCTTTTCTCTGTTCTCCATGAGTGGAGTTGTTTAATTGGTTAGTCCCAATGTATATACCTGGATGTTTCAGTTGAAGACATTGTATTTATTCTCTTCTCCTTGAGAGCCTGACAGGCCAGCTGCTTCTAGGTTCGTTTATTAGTCGGTTCTCACACTGCTATGAAGAAATACCCAAGACTAGGTGATTTATAAAGGAAAGAGGTTTAATTGACTCACAGCTTTGCATTGCTGGTGAGGCCTTAGGAAACTTAGAATCATGGCAGAAGGCAAAGGAGCAGCAGGCACCTTCTTCACAGGGTGGCTGGATGGAATGAGTGCAAGCAAGGGAGATGCCAGATCCTTATAAAACCATCAAATCTCGTGAGAACTCACTATCACGAGAACAGCATGAGGAAAACTGCTACATGATCCAATCAGCTCCCTCTCTGACATGTGGGGATTATGGAGATTACAATTCAAGATGAGATTTTGGGTGAGGACACTGCCAAACCATGAGTCAACCATCTTGGCCACTCCCCTTTCTATAATTTTAAGGTCATTTCACACAATGGAGAATAATACCTCAGTTTTGTAATCATTGAGGTTTTTGCCTTTGAAAATAAAAATGTTCCACTTACGATATTCACTATTTTAGTTGAAAATTTTAGGTTACTTTCCCATCGTGCAATGTTAGAAGCCTTTAGACATTAACTTTGTATTTGTTGTTTAAATACTGTGAATATTCATTTTCTAGTTCCACAAAGAGACTGTTTTAAGGATGTCTTTTACATGATATAAAATAGTGTTCCTGGCAATAGAGATAAATTTCATCCTTTATCATAAAGTGCCCTTTTCCTTTACTTGATGTGCAGAGGCAGCTGTGACAGTAAGTTGGCGGAAAATGTGCCATACCCCCATCTTGCATATTTTTCCTGTGTCATGAAGTTCTCACTTTGTCTTTAAAGTAAATCACATCTTTGAGGTTTTAGAAACAAAACCAATAACCTAGCCTTATTCCTTACAGAAGCAGTTTTAAAAATAGTGGAAATAATGTTTTATAATTGAATTTGAACGCCAGAGTTCTAAAGCTGTATGTTTAAAGATAAAATTAAAAAATATTGTGTGGGTTTTAATTTTTACTATTTTTGTTACAATATTGCCACTGAAAGCATATAAGAATGTCATACTGATTTATTTTTCTTTTTGTCAAGTTGACTTTGATACCCAAAATCTTTTGCTTTGCTTTTAAGGGATACTTATTTATTTATTTATTTATTTAAAAGACAGGCTTTCACTATATTGATCAGGCTAGTCTCGAAATCCTGACCTCAGATGATCTGCCTGCCTCAGCCTCCTGAAGTGCTGTGATTACAGGCATGAGCCACCACACCCGGCAAGGGATATTATAAACCATATTTAGAATCATACAAATACCAAAATGAGTTTAGTCAAAATCTACACTGATGAATTACTAATACATTTGTTAACCTCTTTTGTCAGAAAAACTACAGTGATGAAAATCAGCTTTCATCTTTTACATATAATTGGATAAGATCAGATGCTGATGTTAAGAGTACATCAACAGGAAAAGTTGAAAATTGGAGCTGTATGGAAAAATACTAGAACCAATTAGCTCTGTCAAAAACCATGTGACCACCAAGTATAGGGGAGAAAAGTAGATTTGACCATGAACTGACCTCAAGTCACTTAATAATGGAAAGAAACAGCAAGATGGCTTTTCTTAGAGTTTTCTCAAGTGTTTGATAATAGCAGAACACACCTTGGAAATTACCATATCAGTGTTTGAGAACTCATGTTAGATTATTTTTATTTTTCTATTTTATTCTAAAATTTTATTTTATGATGATTTTCAAACGTATAGAAAATTTGAAAAAAAAATTGTACTGTGAGCACATATGTTTCCATTACCTAGATTCTATAATTAACATTTTGATGTATTTTGTTTATCATGTAACTATCCATGCATTGATTCTATTGTCCATCCATCAATTTGTCTTACTGTTTTTTTTTTTTTTTTTTTTTTGGGAAAGGGGCGTTCTTGTTGGGCCCCGGGGGGTGGGCTGTGGTTTACTTTGAGCTCATTGCAACCTCCACCTCCTGGGTTCAAGCAATTCGCCTGCCTCAGCCTCCCAAGTATCTGGGATTACAGGTGCACAACACCATGCCTGGCTCATTTTTGTATTTTTAAGTAGAGACGGGGTTTCACCATGTTGGTCAGGCTGGTCTCGAACCCCTGACCTCGTGATCCATCTATCTCATACTCCCAAAGTGCTGGGCTTACAGGCATTAGCCACTGCGCCCAGCTCGTCTTATTGTTTTATGTATTTACAATTAAGTTATACACACCCAATCACTCCAGCCCTGAACACTTCAGCATATATATCACTAATTAGAGTTCAGTATTTGTTTATTTTTTTTAGAAAAAATTTACAGTGAAATGCCCAGATCTTAAGTGTTTTAAGTTAATAAATGTAATAAGTTTTGACAAGTGTGTAATAAGAACCCTATCAAGATAAAAGACAAAGTTCCCTCATGCCCCATCACAGTCAAGTCCTGACCCCACTCCCAGTCTTGTGATATTTTTTTATTATAGATTAACTTTTTTCATAATTTCAAAGAAATGGCATGATGCAGTATGTACTCTTTGGCTGGGGCTTTCACTCAGTATAATGGTTTTGTGATTCATTCATGTTGTATTTAGCAAGTAATTATTCCTTTTCATTGGTGAATAGTATCCATTTTATGGATATGCAACACTTTGTTTATTCATTCTCCTGTTGATGGATACTTGGATTATTATGTTTGGGGCTATTAATAAAGCTGCTGTGGAAAGACTTGTACAAGTATTTTTGTCAGTATATGCTTTTCTCATGTATAATTGCCTAGGAATTGAAATTGCTAGATCATAGGATAGGTGTATATTTATCTCATAAAAAACTGCCAGATACTTTTACAAAGTGCTTGTACCATTTTACACTCTCACCAAAATACATGAGCATTCTGGCCATCCATATCAATACCAGGTTTGACAATCTTTTTAATTATTTTGGTGGATACATACAGTGTCTTATATGCTCATTTGTAATGCTATTATAATATGCACTTACCTAATGATATTGAGCACTTTTTCATGTGCTCATTAACCACTTTTTTTTGTAAAGTGTCTTTTCAAACCCTTTGCTCATTTCTACCTTTTAATATTTGTCTTATTGAGTTGAAAGATTTCTTTACATATCTTGGATACCAAGCCTTTATTAGATATGTTTTGGAAATATTTCCTCCTAGTTTGTGTCTGGGACATTCCTTTATTAAAATAATGTATTTTGTGGGGAAATTTTTCATTTTGATGAAACCTAATTTATCAATAGTTTTAATTGTTTTTTGTGTCCAAAGAAACTTTTGTCTGTCCCCAATGTTAGATTTTTGGTATATATTGATTACTTATATATTGGTATATCCATTCAAATAAATTTTACTTTGATCTTGAAGCTTTCACCCATTAGCCAGTGCTGCTCACTTAAGACTTTATGATGAACCCAAATAAATCTAAATATCACAACTAAAAATATAGAGTAAGTAGTTTCAGGTTTTTTCCCCCCTCCAACACCTAGGATATTTTCTAGTTTTGTTGAGTATTATATTTGGAGGATGGGAAGAGATAGCAGAAGTATATTATTAGGCAAGAGAGATGAAAGTATAAATTGCTATGGGAAAACCTCAAATTCTAACATTCCTCTGTCTTCTCTATACCTGTCATTGCCCACCTTCTCCTTTCATTGTTCTCTCTGGCAGAAGGGGTCATTGCTTGTAGGTTTCTTGATTCCAACATTTTAGTAAAGAGTGGCCATCTAGAATTGCTACTACAGCTGAAATTCTATGTAAATTTTAAAGCCCACTGGAGAGTCTGGATAGTGTATGAATTTATATTATTTCCAAAAAGACTGCCTGATGATACATAGTAATAAAGCTACTTTCGAAGCCATTTGATTTCCCTGTTAGAGCATAGCAGTACTTGTTTGGTGAAATGCCCCTAGCCTAAAATCTGCTTACTTTTCAGACTTATGAATCAGAATTGTGAGATGATCTCCAGTAGCATTATGGAAGGGTTATTGTATTATTTATTTTAATTTATTTCATTTCATTATTTTATAATGGGGTCTTGCTATTTTGCACAGGCCGATATCGAATTCCTGGGCTCAATGACTCCTCTCTCAGCCTCCCGAGTAGCTAGGATTACAGGTGTGTGCCACTGTGCCTGGCTGGAAGACTAATTTTAGATATTTATTTTTTGTTTATTTTTTAAAAAAAAGCTTTCATGGATTTTTATTTCATTAGAGAAGCAGAGAAGCAAAAATGAAAATGGAAACAAAATCAAGAATCTCTCCCAACCAGAACCAGAATGGGTGTTGTAGGTGGGATCGAGTGTACTTGGGCTCATCAAACAGAGTCAGTAAGTGCAAGTAGTTTTACAAGGATTGGGAGGCCTAATATGCGGGGAATAATTCAAGAGTTCTGGTTGCAAAAAATTCCCACTTAATGGTCTAATATTTACAAGGTTCACCTGATCCTGGTTAGGAGCCCTCTGGGTTGTCCGAAACAGTGATCTTCACAGGACTGAGGAATGAAGAAGAATACCTCACCCAGTTATTAGTGAGAATTTTGTTCCTATTATACGTATTGCAAATGGCTTGATGTGATAGGAATAACTATTTCCCAGGGTCATCTTTTATTTTTGGCTTTAAAGGCTAACGATAATACAAGATCTTCTCCTTTATCTAGAGGAGCCAATTGTGTGTATGTGTGTGTGTTTTGTGTTGGAGATGGGTTTGGTGGTGATGAGGTGGTCGTGGAGGAAGAGGAGATTTAAGTACTGTACTTACGGAACACTTAGCAGTTTTTCAGTAGCTTTCTTTGAGATCTATCAAGGTTTTCTTCCTTGCCACTTTTCTTAACTCAGGAGTCATATATATTCATGTTACCTGCTCAGTACCCATGTCAAACTGTTCACATAATCAGTGGAGAAGGGAGAAATGCCAGATATAGGTGAAGGGGAGGAAGGCAGCAAATCACACTGCCACATGTGTACCTATGCAACAGTCTTGCATGTTCTTCACATGTACCCCAAAACCTAAAATGCAATTAAAAAAAAATCAGTGGAGAAAACTTTAAGGAAGCCAAAGATGTTTTTAAACTCCTTATGTGATGAAAAATTTACTTTGGGATCTGAGGGGCCCACTTTTAGCTTACCACTTCTACTTATGTAAGCATTCCAATTATATGTACTTTTGAACTCTTGAGGCAGTAATATTAAAAAGTGAAGTGAGTTTAAGTGTTAAAGACGGTTTGTTGATGAACATCAGTGAATTGATTTTTATACCCTTTCCTTTACTCTTTTTTTTTAATTGTTACAGAAGAAGCTACTATGGAGGAAACTGGGCCAGTTTTAGCTTTTCAGGTCTGTTGTCCTGGCTAGAGGAATATCAGGTAAAGTTTGTGTCTGACATTTTAATTTGCTTAGTTGTATGTTACATAGTAACCCTGCATTGAAGAAAACCCTAAACTTCATCTGTGATATAGGATTGATTCTTTATTTTTTTAATTCATTTATTTTACAAAAAATTATGCAGTCACCGTTTCAGCTAATATTTTTCCAATGTTTTTATCCCTTTTTAAATATAAACAGAAGCTGGGCGCAGTAGCTCATGCCTGTAATCCCAACACTTTGGAAGGCTGAGGCGGGCGGATCACCTGAGGTCAGGAGTTTGAGACCAGCCTGGCCAACATGGCAAAATCTTGTTTCTACTAAAAATCCAAAAATTAGTCAGGCGTGGTTGCATGCTCCTGTAGTCCCAGCTACTCAGGAGGCTGAGGCAGGAGAATCACTTGAACCCGGGAAGTGGAGGTTGCAGTGAGCTGAGATTGGGCCACTGTACTCCAGCCTGGGTAACAGAGTGACACTCCGTCTCAAAAAAAAAAAAAAAAAAAAGACATATAAATGTTGACTGAAGAGTAAACTGTATGTATTTAATAGCCATTTCCTAATTATTCTTTATACCCAAATAAAAGACAATAATTTTCCCCCCAAACTAATCTTTAGAAAAAATATCCCAGTACTTATAAAATCTAACATTTACAGGTTGCTCTTAGAGTTAGTGTATTTTGAACAAAAACCAAAATACTCCTAACAATTTGGGGAAGATAAATTAATTTGAAATAATCTCAGTGGTGGTTTTGCACTTGTAGAGGTCACCTGACAGAATCAACAAAAAGAAAAATCAAAGAAATTTAGTATGAATTCAGTAATTACTTTCTAAGGGTAGGATCTCAATACTAAGCTGTTGAATACAATTATAAAGAAACTTTTTAGGGATCCTATATAGCATAATATGGAGAGTCAGCTATGGAGATTGCCAACTTTCATAAGACAGATTTAAAAAGTTGTCCTAGTCTTATTCAGATGGGTACATGTGGCTTGAAATGAAATTTCTGCTGAGAGCATTATACAGAGAATCAGAAACTGCTGTATCTCAAAAGAATTTAGAATATTTGGAAAGGAGGATGATATAGTTTAGAAAATTGTATTCAGTTAACTAAGACTTGTTCAGCATTTATCATGTACCAAGCACTGTTATATTGATTGATTCATTTAATGGTGTACATGATTCAAAAAGTGCCTCTCATGATGACAAAAACATTGATACTGAAGATGCTGTGAAAATGCAGTTTGAATATTGTTGCATGAAATGAGCATGAAGAAACAAGCAATATTTGTAAAGTAGCATTTCATATGATAATTCAAACTGTGTAAGTCAAGAGAGAAAATGAGTAGATATTTAACTGTTTTGTCTATATGCTTAAATATTCATGTATTTACTTTGATCAGAAACTCTTTTTTGTACCTTATTTTTGAGAAGTGTGTGTGAGGGTCACTTTATTTTTAGGCGTATTTAGTACTTCCATGAGAAAATTCAGTGTAGATTCTCAGACCAGCAATAATATGCCCCAATTGTCTGAATGGAAAGTAAAAAAAAGAAATTTGGTAATGTTTTAGATTTATTCAAATAAAAATGTTTTTGTTCAAGTTGTGTTTATTTTTTATTTTATTTATTTATTTATTTATTTATTTTTTGAGACGGAGTTTCACTCTTGTTACCCAGGCTGGAGTGCAATGGCGCGATCTCGGCTCACCGCAACCTCCGCCTCCTGGGTTCAGGCAATTCTCCTGCCTCAGCCTCCTGAGTAGCTGGGATTACAGGCACGCACCACCATGCCCAGCTAATTTTTTGTATTTTTAGTAGAGACGGGGTTTCACCATGTTGACCAGGATGGTCTCGATCTCTTGACCTCATGATCCACCTGCCTCGGCCTCCCAAAGTGCTGGGATTACAGGCTTGAGCCACCACGCCCGGCCCAAGTTGTGTTTATTTTAATGATTATTTCACTACAGAATCTTGACTCTGCCACTGTCTTTTTCTCTCTCCACCCCGTTCTCTGTTCCACAGTTCTTTTCCTAGGCTGATAACCTCATGTCTACACATTCAAAATTCTTGTACTTTGCCTTCTCTTCTACTTACATTGGGATGTTTATTACTATCTAATATTATACTTGATAGTAAGAGCTGTATGTCACTGCTTTTCTTCAGATTAAAGTGTTAAACTCAGGACAACAAAGCCTTTTAAAAATATGTATTGCCTTTATGAAATTTGTAAGTTTTGAAATTTTCTGAGATGAATTTACTTAAAAGATATTGTAATTCTATTTTCCTACCAGTTCCTTGAGTATGTATAATAGAATTTCAAAAAGTTTTCCTTGAGAAAGATGTGTATTAAACAGCTTAAAATTTTAAACAGATTAAAAATTGATCCTTAACATTTGAAAAAGGTAATCTTGACACCTTTAAAAATGCTCTATATTCAAATACTCCATAAAATGTAATCACTGAAAATTTTAACAGACCACTTTCAACTTGTCTTTCTCGTTTTATAAGGTATTCATGGACTAATTATTAGAAAGCCCTTAGTTATACTGGGCTGAGTATTTTTCAAAAGTACTTTTACATGTAATCAAAATTTGACATGACAAGTGACCAACCTTCAAAGACCTGAAAATAAATAGAATGAAGTTATTTTAACTCTGCTGTTTCGACCAAAAAATGTAAAAAAAACAAACAAACAAAAAAAAACCCCAAAAAAGTCTCTGTTTTTATTAACAAGTAATGTACATAACAGATATACTTGATTCTCAGCAGATAGAGGGTTAGTTGTCCTAGTTCTTAAGCAATGTCCAAACAGCCATGTCTGAATGACTTTTTCAAAATTTCAGCTACCCTGATAGAAATCTGTAAATCAGAGCTAGTTTTTGATAATACAGATTTTACACATTGTTTTTCTCTCCTTTCTTTGAAGTTGGAAAACTTGTTGGACTTTGGTGACTCTGAGGTGATATCCTTTGAGTTTTGGTGAGAGGAAATAAGCATGAATTTAGACAAGAGGTGAATTTTCTCAAAAAATTACATGTTTCTCACTGGCCACTTTGATTAAAACTTCTGATCTGTGTTTTGTTTAGGAAAACAGTGACATTGTAAATGACAGTCCAGTGTGGCAAGACCATATCCTTGAAAATGAAGAAGCCATTGCTCTTAGCAGGAAGGACAAAACTATTCAACATGTGGAAGTATTTTGTTATGCCAGGTATGAAAAATCTTTACTGAAGGTAAACTAAGTTAATGACTTTTTTACTCTTCTTCAGAAGAAGCCAACAATAAAGATTTATGTGGCAGTGGCTGCTACAAGGCACATTGATATGCTGGTTTTGCCTGTTTTTAAATGGAACTTTGAGTTTCCTCTGTTTAGGTAGTAATGATAACATCTTACCTGATTGCCTTTGAATTTACCAAGCTGTTTGAAATACATTATCTCATTTCATTGAAACAATTCTGTGGTAGAGTAGGGCAGATACTAGGACTAATAGTTGGAGTTTTTACAGAATCCTCAGTGGAGCTTAAAGAGATTAAGTAGTTTGCAGAAGGTCACATGGCTTGGTAAATGGCAGGTCCACACCCAAGCCCTGGAGTGGTGGAGCTTAAGATTAAATTCCAGAGTTTTTTCCTCCTGCTCCAGTGTTCTTCCAACTATACCATCTTTCTTGGATAATACTCAGTGTAGCAAAATGGAAGATTAAGTTTTGAATAAAAAAATTAAATCATGTGGGCATAATGTTTCAGTACATATTTTGGTAAATTAGTCTAGAACAGTCAGAAATTACAGTGTTTTAAGTATCTCCTTCTGAGTGAGAGGTTCACTGTTTAAAAACAATTGGAATAGTTTACTTTTTCAGATGACATATGATCGACAGGTTGAAAGGTAATAATCACATAGTTAAATCATTCAAGTAGTTACAGAGTCCAGAGGTTTAGAACATCAGACTGGCAGGCACTTTAATAGTAATTAAAATTTAAAATTCAACACGCCAGAGATTCTTCAGGATATGCCTTGTCATCTCACACATCACTGTCGTGGCAGAGTGTTTAATGTGAGCCTGTGAAAAGTTTGGGAACATGTGCTTAACTTCTTAACCTACGTTCATATCTTTCATGTGAATAGCATTTTTTCCCCATAATATACAGTTTGTGTTCTGTGATTTTCTGCAAAAGCACAGCCTTTGAAATATTAGGTATAGATTATAATTTGTATAATGCTAAATGCCGTTTGGTATTTAAAGGTATAGCTCACTAGATATTTTTCAGAGCCAGTGCTGAAAGTTTTAAAAAAGAAGATGATTTGAACTGAAAAGGCATATGCCTTAATGAAATGAGGAATAAATATTTGGTAACTTTCTTGTGTGCCTGTGAATAATACTTGACTACAGTATAGTGACAGTCATACTGGCCTTCTGAGAGGTATTATACTTTTGTTACTTCAAGGCCTCTGATTACTTTTTATGATAATTGAGGTTAATAGTTTCTAATGAGGCTGAGTTTATGCATTTTGAATACAAAGAAAATTATCTCATTTTCAGTTCCTGATCTCTTCAGTTTCATTTGTGTAACTTCTCAAAGTGAGAAAGCACATGGTTGGTGGTGGAAGGTTTGTTTGAAGACAATGAAATAGAACTCTGTTATATGTTTCTCTTGCCAGTTAGAGTGTGGAACAAAAAGTGAACGGGGATAATGTTCTATACGTCTTAATTCACTTGGAAAAGTTAGCTGGTTATTACTGTCATAGTAAGCAGGAAGAGCCTTGAGAACATCCAGGAAAGCAGAGAAAGTACAGAAAATCCATCTGTAAGGGCTGTCTATAGTAAGTGCTGTCAACATGGGTAAATAGGACTAACAATATCTCACTTAACCCCAGCAATACTGTGGCATCCTTAATCTATCGGATGATATTCACAAACCTGTGATTATATGAAAGGGGCTAGGGCCAAAATAGCTGTCACAAAGTTTTACATTGTATGAGAGGTCATCACTGGCACTCCCTGACTTAAATCGAAAGCCTTATTTATTTAATACATATTTCTGACAACCTCATTGTGTGTGTGTGTGTGTGTGTGTGTGTGTGTGTGTTTCTCCATTTCTGACAACCTCATATTGTGTGTGTGTGTGTGTGTGTGTATGTGTGTTTCTCCTACCATTGTAGTTTAAAGCAACAAATAGGAAAGGATTACCTGCTAGAAGCAAGCACACTGAGAACCACATGGAGACTAGTCCTTAACTTGCTATGTGATACTGAGCAAGAGACGTCTCTATTTTGAGTCTGTGTTTTGCCATTAATAAAATTTGAAGGGTTTGGACTAGGTGATCTCAGAAGTCTCTCTGGGCTCTAACATGGTATCATTTTAAGTGCTACTTGGTAGACTAATAAAGGAGAAGACAGCAGTGGCAAGCTGAAAGCAGACTTTGGGCCATTTAGTGTATGGGTAAATGGCTTTTCATATCTGAAGATACCTCAAGGCCATCACTACATTATAGTACAGTATAACAGTTGATGATCATAATTGTACCCCACTGTCTTCAGGCAAAATTAAATAATATTGTTTATCCCCCACTTAAAAAAGTAGGGGATTTGAAGTACATTTTAGAAAGATGAGTATTAAAAATGGTTAGAATAAAAATTGTACCATTTTAAGAGATGAGCTTTCGTTATCTAGAAAATTCTCTTATTTCCTCTTGAGTAAGAGTATCACTGTATAGTAGATCTTTAACATTCTTGAAGGATACATTGCAAGGTCTTCATGGATACTGTTTTGTAAGTAATGAAAAATATGGTGCAGGTTTCTGGCTTTTTGTCATTGCTTTTTGAAACGTGTTATTGATATTAATGTTACGTTTTGCGGATATGGAGTTTGTTTGTGTGTGTTTAGTTCCATACAATTTCATCACATTTGTCGGTTCATGTATTCACTGTCACAGTCAAGTTGTAGTTCCATCACCACAAGGATTCCTACTACTGTTTTTCAATAAGCACATCTGATCTACTTCTTACCTGTACCATCCATAACTCCTGACAACCACTAATCTGTTTTCCATCTCTGTAATCTTGTCATTTTAAGAATATTATATAAGTAGAACTGTATACTTTGTAATGTTTTGGCATTGGCTTTTTTCACTCAGCATAATTCCCTGGAGAGTCATCCAGGTTATTGTGTACATTAGTAGTTTGTTCATTCTTCATCACTGAATTACTATTCATTACAATTAATGTAATGTAATGTAATATTTATTACAATTAATTTTGATAATTTTGATGATAATTCCACAGTAATGGATTTACTACAGTTTGTTTAATCATTCACCCATTGAAAAACATCTGACTTTCTAGTTTTTGCTATTATAAATAAAGTTACTATTCATTTTTGTGTATGGATTTTTATGTGACTTTGTTTAGGATAAAAGTTTTCATTTCTCTGGAATAAATACCCACGCTTGTAATTGCTGGGTCATATGGTAATTGCACGTTTAGCTTTAAAAGAAACTGCCGAGCTGTTTCAGAGGATCTGTACTTACATTCCCACCAGAAAATGTGAGTAATCCATTTTCTCCACATATTTACCTTAATTTGGTGGTGTCACTTTCTTATTTTGGCCATTCTGATTTCTGATTTTGAATATTTTTTCACGTTCTCTTATTTTCCATTCGTATACCATTTTTGGTGACGTGTCTGTTCATGTCTTTTGCTTCTTTTTTAACTTGGATTAGTTTTTTACTGTTGAGTTTTCAGAACTAAAAAAAAAAAAAAAATTCTAAATATGCATCCTTTGCCAGAAATGTGGATGGAGAATATTTTACCCACGTCTCCAGCTTTTCTTTTCATCCTCTTTAAATAGGATACTTTGCAGAGCAAATATTTTTAATCTTGATGAGGTCTAATTTATCAATTGGATTATTCTTTTGGTGTGAAGTCTGAGAACATTTTGCCTACCTATAGATATAGACTGTCTCTTATTTTTTTAAAAAAATATATTTTTATGTTGTACGTTTTAGTCAGTATTTTTTTTTGTTTTTCAGTCTAAGGATATCTAGTTGCTTCAACACCATCTATTGGTGTTGAATTACATTTTTATTTTTGTCAAAAATCAGTTGGTTGCACTTGGGTGAGTCTATTATGAGGTTCTTTATCCTGTTGCATTGATCTATATGTTTTTTCCTCCACCAATACCGCATTGATTTTATTACTGCAGCTGTGCGATAAGCTTTACTATCAGGTAAATTCCTCCCAATTTATTTTTCCTTGTCAAGGTTGTTATATATCCCAGAGTTGTGCCTTTCCGTATATATGTTTAAATAAGCTTGTCTATGCCAAAAAAAAAAAAAAAAAAAAAAAAAAAAAAAAAAAAAACCTTGCGAGATTTTGATAATAATTGCGTTAATACTACAGATTAGTTTGGGAGGATTGACCTCTTTATTATTTTGTGCCTTCTAATTTATGAACATGGTATGTCTCTCTGTTTATGAAGCTCATCTTTGATTTTCTTCAACAGAATTTTGTAATTTTCAGCATACTGATCTTGTACATTTTGTTAATTGCATACCTAAATATTTAATTTTCTTTTGAACAATTGTAAATGGTATTGTCTTTTTAATTTTGGTTTTCACATTCTCATTGCTACTGTGTAGCAGTGCACTTGCCTTTTATGTTTTGATCTTGGATGTTTCTTGAAATCTTGCTGAATTAACTTCCCAGTTCTGGAAGCTTTTTTGTAGATAACTTGGGATTTTCTATCTGGACAATTAGGTGTTCAGTAAAGAGAAAAAGTTTTATACCTTTCTTTCCACTGGTTGATTTTTGTTTGTTGGTTTAGTTTTGTTTTTAAGAATCTATTTTCTGTTGTGAGTCATGTGTTTTCTATCCACAGCTGTATGGCACAGGTTAATTGTGTTTTCTACTTATCCTGAGGCTCATTTAATGAGCCCTATTTTTTTTTTTTCCCAGAAAGGAAGTCGTCATCACTTCTTGAGGACATTTTAATTATACACTAATGCTGGGCAAGCATTTGAGGTCTCACATTTGCTGAATATATTGTTCTTGTACATACTTTCTCAGCATATGCAATTTAAATCCATAACCTGACCAAATGACAAATTACCAAAAGTACTACTCTTTGTAAGGTCATTCATGCCAAGAGTCTACTGTATTTACTTGTATCAAGCAAGTAAATAAATAGACATCAAACTTGAATCATTGGTGCACTA